AAGATTCGACCATAGGTTTTCGAAGCATCATCCACGTACAACAGAATTACGGAGTAATTGGTACTTAAATTAGGGACAGATAACCAGGTAGGAGTAATGAATCACCTGATGAAACTGTGGACATTCATCGTTTTAGGTCATTAGACTATGTGCTTCACATAACTGCGAATGCACCGATGATAAACAGGTTGGAAGGAAATTCAAAACTAACTACAAGTTGTATTTTAGATTATTATTAATAATAATAATATGACTATCGATGATAACTTGTCAAAATTGTCATTCTATGGTTTGAATATAAATGATTATTTTGGTGGGGTTTTTGTTCTCTAGTTTGGTTGACCAAATCATCCAGCTCAGAGAACAAAACTCCACCAAAATCATCCACCTGAGCTACAAATTTTCTCCACCATTTCAGAAATGATAATTTCTATGCATTTCAAAAATATAACTCAATGTGTGATTGCTTAAAGAATTGTGTTCCAAATAGTTAATTACATTTTATATACTGTATCATCAGATAGAAAAGATTCAAGCACTACATAATCTTTAAGATATTGTCCACTGACCATTAAGTTACATTTTCGTCAAACTGTAGTGTTTGTGGTAGTAAATAATTATACTAACGCTAATTCACTTTTATCTGTCTACATTTTTTTCACTTGTTCAAATTTCCCATAGAATCTGAATCAAAAACTTCTGGAAATACTGGAGATACTCGATCGGATGTAAATACACGAACTCGTTGGAAAAGTGGTGGTTTAACATGTATTGATAATCCATTTGTTTCACGTTTAAATAACATGTCTTTGGCATTAGCACCGGGTGTAGCAGCCTTAAATCAAGCTTCAACAACATTATCAATACGATGTGGTTTATGCACAAAACCATTGTGTGCCAGTGAAACAACTCAACAATTAACTGGACATTCTGGTTGGGCTTGTTCACGTCATGCAACATCATTTGATCCAGCTACCATAACTTGTGCATTATGTCATCTAGTTGTTCGTGGTTTATTTGTTTGTTGTAGAGGTTGTAGTCATGGTGGTCATTTGGATCATATGCAGGTAAGATGGATACTTCTATGTAGTGTAAATTTCCGTCTCTTGTATTATAACTGAATGACTCATATACCAATAATTTGTTTACTCCTTGAAATACTCTAAAACAAGTGTTCATTTTAATCACATCTTAAAATCATTCTGTTGTATAGTCATATACACTACAAATTTTCAGATTATAGAGACTTGGTTACTAACTCTTTTGAAGCAATTTTAAGTAGCACAGTGTCTGTCAGCTCAATATCCAATATTTAAGCAACATAAATTATTTCTTAATTCATTTGTGCTGGTTGTTTTAATCTTTCGATTACTGTTTAGGACCGTAATTGGTCAGTCTCTTGTTGGAATATGTGCATCCTGTGTGGATTGCTTTATTACCTTAAATCACAAGCGTTATAAACGGAGATGGATGGCGGCTCACAGTAAAACCCAAGACGCTTATTCCGTCTTATTCGGGCCTCCTCAACTGGATGTACATGTATCGCAGAGTTGATGACCACTCTTATAACACTTAGTATTAAGATTTTATTTAGAATGGTAATGATTTTTAGACATCTGCAGAATCACTACATCATTATACTGTAGTTGCATCTACTGTATACTATCACTTTTTACCTAATTCAATTCCAGTCTTTTTAAGTAGATATAACCACCAAGACATTGTGTTGTTATTAAATGTAACATTTCTCAATGTATGATTCAACTTGTTCTGGAGTCTGACTTGAGTCGCACAAACTTTTCTAATTACTAGGATTGGGGACTTTGCAGTAATTGTTTACGCTACTGAGACATACTTTAGGTAAAAAACTATTGGAAACTAGGTAGCACTAGACAGTTGTTTCAACAGTATAAACCCAAAAGTTGATCTTAAAACGTTCAAGTTTTGAAGCAACCACATTACCTTTAAACTGTTATATTAGAATCCAAATCTAGTCTGTCATATCAACTATCTTCAATTCATGTCAGTTGATGAGTAAGATAGGCAATGCAGCAAAGGGAAATTTTTTAGACGATTTCATTTACTTTGGCTGTACAATTACATTTAATAGCCAGTTTTATTTGCTAAAATGGTGTTCTATAGTATAATAGAAAGGTGCTAACTAATTAAGAGTGGCATGTTGTGAATACTTGAAAGGAAGTTATTGAATATAACCGGCTAGTGAAACAGTGGTAAAGTGAAATATTTGTCCATTTGGTAGCTCTTAAGAAGAGAATTATTAGTAGTTCCTAATTAATATGGTGAAAATAATTGGAAAGGAGTGGAAATGATAAAATAAATAAAAACGATAGATTATGGAAGATAAAAAGGGAGGTTAGGGTAGTCATGGAAGAATGAGGGTTTAAACAAACTGTCTTTTTTTTTACACAAAGGTTAGACTTATACTAGTGGATGGTAATATCCTCCGTTGTGTATAAATTGTTCACTTCCATTTCGAATAAAACAAACCTTGACAATCATCAGTTGAATTACATACATCCATTCATCTTCTACACATTATTGTTATGCAATTTCATGAGAATTTTTAGTAAACATTCGAATCACTTTTCTTTTCTCTCTCATTGTCCATCTATTATATCATCTACAATTCTAGGCTTGGCTTATGAAAAGATCAGAATGTCCAACTGGTTGTGGTCATCGTTGTAAATATGATTAAAAGAAATAATTAGAATTTTCTATCTTTTTATCCCGCTTTATATACATATTGTATAAATCATCCCTCTTATCAATGATAATGATTAAATACGCTATTCCTTAACTAATTTTGTATGTTATTTCGAGATCATTTATTTCTCTGATGTTTATCTCCTTTGTTTTTTTTTGTTAATACAAATACAGTAATTTTGATTAGGAAATAAAGGGGGTTTTTTTTTAGAGATTTTTCTAGAATTACAATAAACATACTAACAGAATTACATTTTACTGCTAATCTATTTAGGATTAAGTTACAATCTGTCATATAGTTTTTTGTACGAAATTCAAAAACGCTAACGTCTGCTCAAACGCTTGGGCTACTTATTTTCCAACTGTATGTCCACACAAGGGATTATGAAAGGTTTACAACCTACCATAATGATAAATATCGAAAATATCTAACAAGGGGCACTGCATTTGTTGAAATATTCTCTTTCTTATCTAACCCTTAAAGATAAACAGACGGGTATATTTTGAATTTATGTAGTCGATATCTGATGATTCAGAAAAATGGTTATGTCTCTCGAATTGATGGTAAACCTTCGTCATCGAAGATAAGCTACGTAATAAAGATTTGTGATAGTGTTGTACAAATGATGCTAAGAATTCCTTACTGTAACAAAGTGTATAGTAATGAATAAAGCTATTAATATCAATTCAAATCTTAAAAACCATAAAAATGAATACATTTTTGAAGCTCAGACGTTGCTATTTATGGTAGTGAAGATTCATATTATTTTCTCATTAAGTTTTTTTGGCAAAAGACTCTTAGCTTATAAACCATATATCCATTTGTTGACAAAAAAAACACCGAGATTCCAAACTCATTTTTAACTTTGCTTAAGGCTACAAGTATAAGTACAATATTACCAATATCCTTGATCTTTATGATCACATGAAATTTCTATTCTTAAGCAATATTTGTGAAGAAACAACTTTTATTATTGGCAAACAAAAGTTGTCCTAACGTAGGACAGTAAGTAGTATTTATCTTACCGAATAATATTAGTTTGAACAGGGTTGTTTAGTTAAAATTATAAAAAAAACTCCACCGATGAGTATGTTGTATTTACTATCACTGAAAAAACAGGTGTATGATGTACGAATCTGAGCACATTGTGGTGTATGCTACTTATGTCGAACGAAATAAGTAGTATGTAACATCAATTTGGAGTGGAATGCTTGTCAAAGGAACGTTGAGAAGATTGAAATAAAGAATCGGAAAAGTCATACAGGATGTAAAGGACAAGTGATGGAAGATTTACAAATAAAGTATTTAATGTACGGTTTTCACTTTTTACTAAAAGAACCCTGTTGTTTTAAATTAAACAATAAATTGGACTTTTTCCCACCAACTCTTTGATCTGTATAATACATTAGAAATTCACATGTCACATTTAGCTACCTAAATATGATGACGTAGTTCACATTTGTTTCTTAGTGGTTTACTCTGGATGTGAATTTTTTAACACCGACTTTATTTTTTTCAATCAACTCTACTTCTAGTATTTATAGAATTTCTACCCGTGTATTTATTATTATCATTGATGAGAAAAATGTGATTGTTGCTCTTTTTGACTGAGATCATGAACCGATTGATATTAGGCCACAATAAAACCTGGAAGCATCGGACGGCCGTCTCGTTCTATTGTGAAATTCCTAGGCGATGCGCACCCACGACCCCGTTCGTGGAGTTCGAACCCAAGGCCCCCAGTCTCGCGCGCGAACGTTTAACCTACTGGACCACTGAGCCGGCATCCAATGGTGTTAGTGTCTAACATCAACCAATCCACGAAATTCCGTGACCATCTTCCATTTTACTGAGGTAGATACCTGTCTCTACCCGACACGGATTAGCTCCACATTTGGACGAAACGGCCGTCCAGTGCTTCCAGGTTTCCAACGGTGGTCTAACATCAATCGGTTCATGATCTCAATCAAAAACTTAATAATCTCCATAACCCCTATACTGATGATTATTGCTCTGTTAAGTGGTTTGTGGTGATTACTTCTCTTAGAAAGATGACCAATCACAATCTTAAGTAATTTACAGTAGTAGCTAGAAAAAGGCGCTGTTATGAAGGCAGCATCAAGGTGGTTGGTTGTATATATCCCGCCAATTCACAAACTGAGTCGATTTGAGAGAAGTGGAGAATGTGGGTTTTTTACTTGTATAAGTGGTAGGCAACGTGGTTTATAATCAGTTATCAGCTTACAACATTCATCGACTAGAAGACAGGTGCACTCTACTATTCTTGAAATATATATTTGAAGCATATTTTACATATTTCATAGCAAACGTATACGATAACGTGGGTATGAATCTGTTGTTTCACTAAATGTGTTAACCTGAAGATAGGGCAGAAGCCAAGACCAAATTACAACGAATAGTGCTGAAAGCTATACGGATACTTTAAATATATATGCTAAGTGCAAACACAATAGTTCCCAATTTCGTCATTCCTTTCACTATCATCACGATGCAAGTTGACTTCTTAAACTTTTCAAGACTGCTTCAATCACTTTACTAGTTTTATAACTACCACCCAAATCAGCTGTACGTATTTTTTGTTCTCCAACAACATTCACAACTGAATCACGAATAAGTTTAGCTTCTTTGATATGACCTTGAAAAAGTAGAGAAAACCATCATAATAAATTTAACAGATTTATGATTGAAAATGATAATCTATAATATATACTGATAAGTCTTGTTTATTAAACGCTAGATTTATTTCCTAAGCTCTTCTAGTAACCCCCGCCGTCATGCTAGAACTGCACAGTGACTTGAACACAAGAGAAAAGTCCCGAAATACGTAGGAAACACTTTACTCCAAATGTTCATTTATGTACAGAAAATATAGGATTTTTATAGTGTTTTAAATGTACCTGGGTTTCCCGAAAATACTGGAATGCTACTAAACCTAGTAGCACTATAGTAATCATACAATCAGAAACTCGGAATGTGACTTTTCAATTTCTAGATGTTTCTGGCAAAGCTTCTACTGAACGCTGATTGGATAAGATACTTCTCAGTGTTTTCAGAACCTTTCTTGGCTTATTTAATATATAAGTTTTTACAAGTCCAATTTTTCTTAAATGTCTTCAGCGAATTCAATACATTCACTTGGAGACTAGTATTGTAAGTTGAAAACAGTAATATGAAATAATCCCTAACTAATTACTTGTTAAATATGATTCAGTAATAGATTGTCAAAATTTAGAAGAAAATTAATTAACTTACCTAAATATTCTAACATATCTGCTGATGTCAATAACATACCACATGGATTAGCAATATTTTTCCCAGCTAAGGAACGTCCAGAATTCCGTGTGCCCATTTCAAACAAGGCATTTTGTGGGCCTAAATTTATACCTGTTGTTAGACCAGCTCCACCGACTAAACCAGCTGCCACATTACCGACTATATTTCCGTATAAATTTGGTAAAACAATCACATCGAATTGTTGCGGTTTACTAACTAACTGCATACATGTATTATCAATAATCATATGATTGAATTCAATCTATGCTTCCACAATAAGATTATAAAGAAAAGAATTACTAAGATTGATATGACAATTAGGTGTTCATAATAAAACTTGTAAATCCTGAAAATTTAATGAAGTTTGATTTTCTAACCCGAATGGTTTGAGTATGGAGTTTTCATTGTTCTGAACAATGCTAACACACCTCGACAACTTAAACATCAACAATGATTAGCCAGGTTTGAGGTATACAGGAGATGCTATTAGTCATATTTAGAGGAATTCGAGTATTTCACCTCTATTTCAAATTTTTGCTGATGATGTTGTTCAAGAGAACAATGAAGGCTCCACAATCTAACCATCCAGTTCATAAAACGAAACTCCAACAAAACCGCTCACTTCCACCATCTCGTAATCGTAAAACTGTCTAGAATTAATGAATAAATTAAACAAATAATTTATCTGCACAAGAATATATATACGATAATCTCGGAATCGTTAATAGACCCAACAGTTACGGAATAATAATCATAAGGAGCATTTATTAACTTTCTCTGAACATTTGTCAGATATAATTAACGATTATCGTTAATCATTAGTCTGATAGGATTTGTAAAAATTGTAGAATTTCCAATAGTTCAAGTTACAAACTGATCTGACCACTATGGAAATTCTACGTTTCACAAATCCCCCGATACTAATAAGAATAATGTACAGGCTGGTGATTAGCTTCAAAATGTAACTTCTGAAGTTCTAGCGAAAAGCCATGATCAGTTGGTTTCATCCATTTTACGTGTGAAACAGTTATCCCCTACAGGCAATGTACGAGACTTTCACAATATCACAAACTAATTGAAGTTAAACATTAACACTACTGAATACCTGCTTATTAGTCTAAAGTTTGTACGTGAGATGAAAGGTTCCGGGGTCGATTTCTGGAATCCAGGTCGTTAATGTACACTGTTGAGGAGTTCCATACTAGGACGAAACAGCCCTCCATTACTTTCATGTTCCCAATGATGGTCTAACTAGGATCATTTCGTGATTCAAACAACGAAATTTACATAGTTGTTTAATTTCTTTGTGTTTTCTCACTTGTTAGAATGAAAATAACTGCAAGTTTTTGTTCAATTCATTTTTGGCGTTATAACACTTGCCTTTTCCTAGTGTAACTTGATTACCAAATAGAGGTTTTTATGTGCTGCGCTATAACTAAGACTATTTTTGCAAGTGTTAGTGATCGAAGGGTGCCACAAACAAATTAAGGTAGGATTTGCACCTGATTGTATCCGAACCACTGAGTCACAGCTTTTATCGTAACGTTATACGCTCACTGAAAACAATACTTGATTTGTATAATAAGAAAAATTGCATATTAATGAAGGTATTGGAGGTTACCACTAACCTGTGGATAATTTTTGGCCATTGAAGAGCATACTTCTAAAAATAGACCATCGCCCAATTTCATGATATTGGCTTTGTGTACTGCTGTGACTTTTTTTCGGTTATGTCGAACGGCATAATCAAATGCAAACTGGGCAATTCTATTTTTTTAAATAAGATAAAGGAGAACAATAAACTTGCATTATTTTATTTATGACAAAACAGAAGATCTTAAGGAAGTCTATGCGAGAAGAGAGGAGAAAATTATTGATTGTCAGTAATGAATATATGGTACAAACCTAAAGAATGATTCACAGCCAACACAAAAATAACACCATAACTGAACCGATGACTATAGAATAAATGAAAGAAAGCTTTAACTTTCTCACTAACAAGTAAGAATGTCATCCGACTTACTATGGATAGACACATTGATAATATGGAATACTATGTCTTACTAATGGACCCATTTTTCGGCAAGCAAAGAGCCTCAATAAGTAGTTGGTGACGTTGTTTCACTAATGCTTAGAAACTTGAAGCATAAAAACAACAAAAATGGAGAAGTCTGAACTAGTGTAAATATCAGTATTTTACAAATTAGTGGTATGTAGTGTGTCCTTAGTAGCAATCATAAACAAAGTACTCAACTTAAACAATACTGTTTACTCAGTAATATTGTAAATCCAAGTTTCTATGGAAGTTCTCATGAAGAATATGCATTTTGAAAGTCAGGATAATCATTCGTAAGACTAATATCTTATCATAGAAATCGCGAACCGACTTAGTAAGATAATCACAGAAAACCTTGAAGCACTGGATATCTGTTCTGTCCTAATACGAAACTACTCAGAAATGTGCATCCAAAGCCCCACTGGGGGATTGGACTTAGAACCTTTAGTCTGTCTAGACATTATTTAACAGGCGGCCTGAGAGAATATCTGGGCTACCTGCTCTTGTCATCTAGATATTTCAACAAGCTATGTTTTTTTAACACATCATAATATCCATGAAACGAATAACCTATTCGGACGGGTTTATGAAAAGTACACAACCTTTCGCTGTAGAAGTTGCAAAAAAGTATAATCAGAGGCATCGTGGTGGCTGGTATTATGCATTGAAAAGAATGAACATCATCCAGATGTCGACTCGTGTACTGCTAACATCTAACTGGCGATCACTCAATTTTTATCGTCAGGATCGACCAAGAAATGACAAACAGGAACTTTGCCAAATACTTTGTGCTGAGAATTCTGTACATTTCGCCGAAAATATAATACTGAATAAGGAAAATAATTATTGTCATTATTATCACACCAGCTCTATGTGAGACCAGATGTCCCCAGCTTGATCTCCAGAAGGTTCAGAAATGAGCACTGTTGGAAAGTTTCAAACTACGATAAAACGGTTGTGCAGTTCTTTCTGGTTCTCACTGTTTATCGCGAACTTAACAACATCCAATAATGTCCACTGTCAATATCATTAGTATTACATTATCCTTATTCTTTTTATAAATAAGCTCATCTTATGATTACCCTTACTCTTCACTTTCAGATATGTCGGCAGCCGTTAAAACTCAGCAACTGAAATCAACGTAAATTCAAATCTGATATTAAAATGACATTAAATATTTTTAAGCATAAAGACACTAACCTAGTGGATTTTTCTCTAGTTATAATCTTCAAAGATTCTACCACTCCAGGAACATTTTCGTGCTCCAACTAATTTAAATGAAGGCGATATCAAAACAAGAAGTGTATATGAAAACCCAATTAAAGTCAGGAATATGTAGAGAATGGAACATTAGATGAAAGAATGTAAATTGTATTGAAATCTGAGTTTAACAAAGTTGGTTACTAAAGGAAGCAGAATTTGGGTCAAAGCACACAGCTATTTTGTGTGGTTTGTTTACTGTAATAACTTGATTTTTATGATTATCTAAAAGTAATGTGATTGTAAGTACATCTGAAGATCCTCGTTTCAAATACAAGAATCAATCAGGGACTACAATTGTGATATACTTTAATTGGAAGAAAAGTTTTGATACCGTCTCATATTTTCAATTCTTGGTAAAACCAAATGTAAAATAGCACTGATACAAGAACAGCTAAGTTATAATTACTCGACTATATCCTACATACAGCAGTGATAGGCTGGGTGAAATCAGATATTTTACATGCATCTCAAAGTCAAGAGACGATTAGATAAAGCACACTATGATTATCTCCTTTGTCAAGGTCCTGGGGGTCCCAGGTCCTGTAGATCACATACCTACATATATACCAGTGATATATGTACATTATTTTTGGTCACCGATTACAACTTCCTATTTATTCTTGGAATTCTAAACCCCGTACCAGTTTGAGCTTGAGTATGGGAGGCATATATATCTGAAGCTGGTCAGATAGCTGCAGAAAATAACATGAACAAAGTCATTAAAAATAGTACATTTATTTATTTACCCGACTATATTCACCCTCTGTATTCTCACGTATTATAACGATATCGACATTTTGATGACGTGTAACCACACCTGGAAAGTTTCGACATCGTTGGACAAAGGCATATAAATTCAAGTTTAAACGGAGAGCTACATTTCTTGACGATTGACCTGGAAAAGTTAAATTTTAAATAAAAGCTTAGTTTTGCTGTCTATGGATTTGTAGAATGTAAAGGACTATACTTTCTAGTAATGTGGCTCCAAATCGTAGGGAGCAGTGTATATACATCTTATCTATACTTTATCACTACTTTGAATATCACATAATTCCACACTAACATATCTCGTTTTAGATTATTTTTTGCACTAAAAAACAGTATATTCTTGTATTTTAAATTCTAGTCACAAGTAAGACCATGCTCCTAAGAACGACGGTATTATCTATACAAAATTTTTGTAAGAATAAAGTGAAGCACAATTTAATAACCACGTACAGACTTTATATTTTGAATGGTTTCTTGTAATGATGAAATGATTGGGATGTCCCTAAACTTTTATTTCTAAATAACGGAGTTGATGGGATGTATTTTACCACTGGTAATCATATAAAACGTCAAAGGTTTATGTTACTGTTAATTTTGACAGTAGCACGTATGTTAAGAAACTGCTTATCTATATTAAACAAGTATTACGTCGTTAAAATTTCTCTTATTACGACCCAGCTACTCCTATTGCTTAGTAATCTTGGAAATTACTTCACTAGGCAAGTCACCAAATCATAACACGTTGAACAGGAACGAAATTATATTTCAAATAACAAGGGTAGATGGGAGTAGCAATCGCAATAAGAAAAATGTTAGTATATTTATAGTTTTTATATGAGATTCTAGAGTTTTCTGCAAGTATCCAGTAGCGCTGATTGGGTAAGAAATGGCCCCAACACAATACTGCACGGAACGTGCTTTAATCCAATCTGTATCCCGCTAACATACACTCAAGAAAGAAAATAACCATACTCATTCGGAACACTATACCTAATAGTTTGCAACTATGATATATGAATCGAGTTAGCCCAAATCAGTAACTATTGTAAAACAGAGGGAAAATGTAAACCAGCTTATCCTCCATGATTATCGGTAGGAAACGAAACAAAACTAAATAAATAGATAAGACTAGAACGATGAATTCCCTTAATTACAAAGTGAAGATGAAACTAATCCTCAATGATCATGTTCTAGAGAAACATAGAAGGTTAGCTGTCCTACAAATGATACTATACTTTCGTCGGTTTTATTGCATCGTACCGATTGAGTCCTCCAATAAGTGTAACCATGTGAGAGATTCAGGACCACTAATCTACTTTTTATATTATAATATAAAAGAGTGGAATAAACTGTTGAGTTTTTGGACTCATAATAAGTTCACTTTAACATAAAACCTTGTTTTCTGGTCCTTAAGTATGTTGAAACGTTTACATCTATTGACATTCTTCAGTTGGAATCTTACCAAGTAAAAAAATTTAGTCCGATTTTTTTATTTTAAGTCATTAAGTGCTTATTTGGCTTTTCACAAATTACTTCTCTACAGAACAAAGATTACCTCTCAAAACCAACATTTCTTAGCATTATTTTATCCTTAGAATTAGCCTCCAGGTCTTAATCCGTTGATACGCCCGTTTAGCGACCCATCCAATGTACTCTGATTTTATCCGTGTAACTAAAGATGAACAGTAACTTGAAATGAAGTATTATCAAAGCAAAATCCACCAAAAAAAACCACTTAGTGATCAACAGACTGATTAGTAAACGAATCTTTTTTAAAACAATGATATGGAAAGATCTACATACAAAACTTTGTAATACCTGGTTCTGTGGCAAAATTTCCTTTGATTCCAACACCATTGCGTTTCATAGCAAGTAGAGCATCAGTAAATGTAATATCTTCAGATTCTTGATTTACGGCAACTTCCTCAAAATCTATTGGAGCTCCAATAACTTGGAAAACTTCTTTGACGTATGATAGAAGTTCGGGTCCTACACCATCCCCGAGAAGCATTGCAACAGTATGGCGGCCGCCATAACAAGCCTTTGGGAGTTCTTTATGAAACCCTAGGCCTAAAAAGTGTTTTGATCCAGCGGGAGCATCCAAATTAGCGTTTGTAATCACATTAGTAGTACTAGACAAAGTTCTAATATTCCCATGTATTCCAAAAGACTGAAAATGGGAAGTTGAGGAGCGTATTACTTTAAATAAAACTACTGTTTACTTGAGGTTGTGGCAAATGCAATAAAAGAGTTTGATATGAACTCCATCCAGTAGCCGTAACTTGTTACATACAAACTGGTAAAACGACATCAATCACTAGTCTCCGTGTACTATTGTTTTATAAATTCTAACAGGTATGATATTCGCCACAAGACCCACATAACTAGGCAAAAACAGGTTAAATTTATTATTTTACATTTACACCCGTTGAATAAAAAGCAGTGATGAGTTTCTAACACCACGTACAAGTCCATGCTTCAAATACACAAATCAACTTTTCAACATCCTAGCATATAAGTATTCGAGGAAATTATAATATCCTACAAATATTCTGTAAAGACAAAAAGATGGCAGTTTTTATCATAGAACTCTATCACCTGTCTCCAAGTTTTGAGAGTATTTAAAACTATGAAAATTTATAGGAACAGTTCGTTAGTGATGGAATATAACTCGCGACTTCAAGTTTGTTTAGCATGATTATAAAACATTGAACCCAAAAAACAAATAGATGTGGTTTTTAATATGTTAAAGGAGTATATAGTGTGTTATTTACGATACCCTTGAAGACAGTGAGGTAAGTTGTGACTCTACATTTCTGTTTGACATAAAAGGCTTTAATTCATGAGATAAGTTCCTCATCAGTCAATTTAGCGCCTAAGCTTTGTTAGCTCGCAAACAATCAGAATTTTGCCGTGCTAAATTATAAGGAAGAGTTCATGCGACATTTTTAAAATAAAATAAGAGCTCAATAGGCGTCTTGAACTTAGAACTTCCATATAGACCGAAAAATATACATAAAACTATATGATAGGTTCAAAATATCTCCGTCAGTCGACAAACATTAAGACCATTTTAGGCCTCAAAGAAACACTTCTAGACGGCACTTGTGACTATCCAAACCAGTATAAAATATTTGTAACCCATACATACTAGTGGAAACTGAAACAGATGTATGCCTGTAATATTTCAAGCAAGAATTTACTGTTGTCCCAATCTCCCAATTTTGGGGAAAATGTGACCTTTCTCAGGGAAGCCGCGATAGAAAAGTTGGTGGAAATAGCACCAAAAACCCAAAATCTCCCTAGATCTGGGAAAATATCCCAAAGTTTTGGAGAAATCTCTGAAATGTTTGTAGACCCAGGTAACCCAAAAAGGGAAAATAAAGACGAACAAAGGGGAAACAAAGGGGTAAATACTTTGGTAGCGAAAGGGGAAATAAAGGAGAAAACGCATCAGAATGTCGCCTTTTTCGCCTGTCCGGGGGAAATAATGCGGATTTCCTCCGAAATTTCGGGTTTAATCCAATACTTCACCAGAATCTTATAACACTGATTTTTTCCCCGAACTTTGGGGAGACATTTGGGAAAACTACTAAACTTTTCACGACTTTAAGGAAATTTTCCTGGGGCTTAAGCCCCAAAATTTAGCTAAAATTCCCCAAAGTTTCCCCAAAATAGTAAGATTGAAGTATTAATTTATTCGCATTGGTATATATATGAAATCAAATCTAAAGTGCGTGTAGATAATTGCAAGTGGAAACTCACTGGCGCTAAATAAACCCGACTGGGAAATAGTCTCCACAAGCTCAAGGTCAGCCTCATTTTTAAACCTTCTTCCAGTTTCAGTTTTAAAGGATAGCAGGCTAAATGGCTTTTGTTAGCCTAGGCAATGATGGTCTCTCAGTTGACCCAACTTTCTTTTGAAAGAGTCGACAGATGGAACTTCAGTCACATGTTGAGGTGATTAATTACGCCTGTTAATGAATCAATAGGAAAGTCGACAGTCCGCTGACATTTTGTTCTGTAGTTGTGAACTTTTTGGAGTGTCCTCGTAAATTCTGTTGCGGAAGACAGGAAAATTTAGGGCGTATCAGATGCAAAGTTATCACTAAGTTGTTTGAAAACTGTAATTAAGTCACTTCTAGTTCTTCAATGTGACAATGGGAATTGTTTAGTTTGATGATGTCACAGGTATTCAGTGTTTGACAACGCTTCTACCAGTAACACCTTCGAATATATTTCGTTCCCGCCCAGAGAAATCAAAAGACAGAGTCGAGCATCATATGGGAGCTTCTCTATTCTATGGATCAGCTTAGTTATTGTTCTCTGAGCCTCCTCCGAAAGCTCACTGTCTTTTTTAAGCAAGAGCTAACTGATTGAATGCAGTACTCTAGTTTAGAGTGACTTAATGCTGTACACAAAGCCACAAAAATTCAGCATCGACATGGCTAAAGGCCCTACGTATTATTCATATAGTTCTAAAACCTCTGGCGGTTATTGCACGACGGTACGCAGTAGTTTGTGAGTCTTGACTAACGATGATTAATAAGTCATTGTGTGTCTGAACAATAGGTAGCTCAATGTTATTAATCGTGTATGTATCTGCACCTTGATGACCAATATGCATCACAATGCACATGAAAGTATTTATTGGCAACTATCAAGTTTGAGACTAACCAAATAATTTCTGCAGGTCATTTTCAAGCTTCAAGATATCACCCTTACGTTTTGTCGCTCCCCATATCTTAACATCGTCAGCATATAGCAAAATCGATGATGATAGGAGATGAGGAAGGTCGTATACATACATATAAGAAAAATCAATAGAGTAACTGGGTCTTTGCTCTTAAGTGTGCAATCATTCAGAAGTTGCGTTAATTACATGGTGATGGTGCTCTAGTAATATACTCAGGTTTTGGTGGTTTGGTGTACTGTGGTGTTTGAGTTAACCAATGATACCTCTGTACTTGTTGAATGCTCGATTTCGAATTCCAAATACAATACATTCGTTCGTGCTTGTGTCTTACTTCTTAATTCAATTGCGTTATTTCTTGTATTCCTAGTTCATACTACTATTCAAATAATTCAAATATTATATGAACTTAATAAGCTGTACGACATCATCACGTCACACCTTATTCAACTGTAGCTTGACAGAAATAATTCCAGGTGTTAGAGCCTGTCCTCGTGAGATTTATGCTTTAGGCCCATCATCCACTCGATTTCCCGTCTCTGTACTCAGGCTAAGAGATTTATATCACTTTTGAAGATACGGGGTGCAACGACTATGTACTTCAAGTACTGACCGTACATGCGTTATAAACAGTGTAATGAGCAATATTAGGGTGGTTACGCCACGTTGTCCTCGTATAAAGTTGTTGTGTCATCTTATTAGGGTTCAGTACGGCCTCCGATAATACGGAATTGTGAACGAAAACGACTAAGCTTCTCTAACATGATTGGTTCTTTTCTTAACTGACAAGAGTCAAATGCGCTCAATATTATCAAACCTCAACGGCTAAGACAAGAAGACAGAATTGCAGGTAACTTGATGGAAAAGTAACTCAAACGACATTGGTACAAAAGTCATTACTATAGTAGCGAAATACGACCGAGCATGTAGCGATTTAGTAAACTAAAAAAGCATGACAACCAATCAGAGGGCAAAGTTTGTTCAGAGAATCGAATTGGTAGAAAGTGTGTGAGCGGTTGTCGTTCCAGAAGAGATCTTATCCCTGCTAATAAATTCTGACTGTTCTTGGGACCGCCTTCGCGAAAGTGGAGAGTTACGTTCACCTTGGCTGCATCCCTTGTATGATTTGAACTGACAACTAATCTCTCTGAGGTTACAAGCTTGAAGTCTTGTTTTAAAGGGACAATCGGGGGCGGATTTCTATGTAAGATGAAAGTTCCACTCGGATAAAGGCCTACAAGCCGAAGATAGAAGGCTGATGGTTTGTGTCAATCATTTTGCAGTAAGTTTTCATGGGTGTTTCATCTGCTGCAAACTAAATTTGTTGACTTTATGAACAAATTGGTTCCAATAGTTGACTTCTATGTGAGAAATCACAGAGCCTAGTACTGTGAGTCCCCTGAGTAATTCTAACATAGTTGGAAGAAAAACAGACGATACATTAGATGTTTTCAAACCGTTAAGTGTTCATCTAAGCTCTTATTAACATCTTAAGTCATAAGCCACAAATAAACACAAGCGAGTCACGGTTTAAGGTCGTGTCTCACCAGTTTCAACAGATCCTCTATGAGTCAGGACTCAGATTACTTAAGCTTAACTTAGTGTGGTTATCTACATTAGATTCTCTGGATTTTGACATTATCAGTTTAAAGTTCTAACGGTAACTTAATTTTATGAGGAAATTTATTTACGTGAGATGTAAGCAGTAAGGAATGTGGAAGCAAGCCATGATGTGCTTTCATTATTAGTAGCTTCCGAGATAAAACGTGACATCCTTGATAGACCGTAGCAATTAATCTGCCGTGCGTGCTACTTATATCGACATAAGCAGTATATAGCACTGGTCAGGAATAAAATGTCCGGCAGCAGAAGGTCGAGAAGATCGAAAGGGAAAGAACGAGAACAGAAAACAATTGGTATGGAAATACGAGAACGATTAAGTCTGAGACAACTAATGAACATTTTGCAAATGAAGTCTTTATTGAATGGTTCTCAGATTTTACTGAGATATTCTGTAATGTCGTATTAAAATACGTTCGAGTGTCCCCACTTGTGTTCTTGTTCATTACAAGTCACCTGCGATTGCAACTAAACTAATCGTATAATTTTTGTGCCAGTTCGTGCCATATAATTTGCCGACTTTAATCCTAACTTAATGAGCTATATAAGAAGAAGCATGTGGGCCTTTATATCAGTGTCTAGTGGATTCGCCTTATATTATCTAAGTGGTTTGACTAGTCAAATTTATGACGAAAATAATCACTTGGTAGATGACACGGAAATCGGTCTTCCTGTTAGTGAAGACCGCGGCAGAAAATCTCTTGGTTTTCACTTTAATTCAAGTGATGATGTCACAGGTATTCAGTGTTTGACAACGCTTCTACCAGTAACACCTTCCAATATATTTCGTTCCCGCCCAGAGAAATCAAAAGACAGAGTCGAGGAGATCGGAAGAGTATATTTGGCGATGACCAATATATCGGAATTCTCTGATCTAATCTGGCTAGCGATTGCGGTTGATGTTGAGCACGGCGTTACCACACGTGATCTGGTGCGGATGCCTGACCGAGTGCCTTCAGTTAGATGAGTCCACTAAAACATATGGTCAGCATCCAATGTCGAAAACTTACAGAGCTATTTATTTTGGGGATTTATTTACCGCTACAGATCACTCCCCCCTAATGGGGCAGTGACGTCCCTAAGACGTTGCCAGCCAGAAGTTTAAACCCAACGAGTTTGTCGTTGGTAAACACTCTTCTGATAGCTTACTAAATTTAGCAGCGTCTGGTCGTCTTTCCTTACTATATGGGACGGAGGTACAACATAGTAAAAAAAGAAAATGCACAATGAAAATTTCGGATCCTCATAAACGTCATCGTTCTTTTCCAGCCGTCCTGGAAAAGAAAAAAGAGAATGTAAGTGCATGTCGAAAATACACTCGTATGTGTGTAAAAACACAATGTCGGCGGAAAAAAATGGAAAATAAACTCATGAACACGTAATAGCGTTAAAAAATTGTTTTTTTTGTTTGTTTTTTTAAATAGAAATAAAAATATATAAGCATATTAAAATTGTTTTTTTAAAAAAAATAATATAAAATGTCGAGAAGTGCCTTACGTGCAATAGTCGTTTAAATGTTCTGGAAATCTCACCCTTCTTCCAGAACGCGTCGTTTTAAGCTTATTTTCGGATACTGTCGAAGTATCGTGTGTGTTGGTTGTCGGATGAGGTATTATTAGTGTCGGAGTCGTGTCGTTCGATTGTACCGAAGGAAAATCCACGTAGATAGGATTTCCTTCTAAATACGCTGCTTTGAGGCGATCGATGCTGATGCTATCGTTTGTTCCGTTCTTATCGATTATATAGTACTTCGGTTCGCATTGAAGAACTTTGAAAGGTCCTTCGTATGCTGATTCGAAGGGTCGTCGATGCGTGTCGGGCTCACCAATGATGATTTCACAGGTATTCAGTGTTTGACAACGCTTCTACCAGTAACACCTTCCAATATATTTCGTTCCCGCCCAGAGAAATCAAAAGACAGAGTCGAGGAGATCGGAAGAGTATATTTGGCGATGACCAATATATCGGAATTCTCTGATCTAATCTGGCTAGCGATTGCGGTTGATGTTGAGCACGGCGTTACCACACGTGATCTGGTGCGGATGCCTGACCGAGTGCCTTCAGTTAGATGAGTCCACTAAAACATATGGTCAGCATCCAATGTCGAAAACTTACAGAGCTATTTATTTTGGGGATTTATTTACCGCTACAGATCACTCCCCCCTAATGGGGCAGTGACGTCCCTAAGACGTTGCCAGCCAGAAGTTTAAACCCAACGAGTTTGTCGTTGGTAAACACTCTTCTGATAGCTTACTAAATTTAGCAGCGTCTGGTCGTCTTTCCTTACTATATGGGACGGAGGTACAACATAGTAAAAAAAGAAAATGCACAATGAAAATTTCGGATCCTCATAAACGTCATCGTTCTTTTCCAGCCGTCCTGGAAAAGAAAAAAGAGAATGTAAGTGCATGTCGAAAATACACTCGTATGTGTGTAAAAACACAATGTCGGCGGAAAAAAATGGAAAATAAACTCATGAACACGTAATAGCGTTAAAAAATTGTTTTTTTTGTTTGTTTTTTTAAATAGAAATAAAAATATATAAGC